TTTTAAAAATATTGAGAATAAAAAAAAAATTATGATTTAAAATGAAGACGAATATGATGCAATAATGACATATACTATATATAATCTTATAAAATATTTTTATGTTTTATTTGTAATGCCCAGATGATTGGCTTCGCCAGATAGAATTAAGCCCAGATCGAGCTCATTTAGAATCTCGGAGACTGGTTGTGTAAATATTAATAGGATTTAGATCCAAAAATTGCGTAGAAACATTAATGGTTAGTTGAAATGATAGCAAAAATTTATAAAGTAAGCATTCATAGCAGATAAGAGATATAAAGAAGTTGTGCTATAAGTTGGTTGTTTAAAGGCGATAATTTCTGAAATGTATACTTGGTAAACCTATAAACCAACAGAATTTAACTGAGATTATTATATGCTTTAGATTTATAATTAATAAAAGTTATTAAATCATATAGATTACTCGAGGTAACTGTTGAAGATCAAAAGAAAAAATAGGAAGAAAAAAAAATTATTTTGGAATGATGCTTGATATAGTGCAATTAAATCATTTTTAAGATTTGGTTTAAAAAAAAATAATACTATAATTTGGATATATTCGGAGAATATGATTAGAAAACTAAGACGAATATATAATTATTGATAGAACAGATATTGATGATGGAATTAAATTTAATAGTGTTGTTAATTGGCTCATTTTGAGCCAATTTTTTTAAAACGGCTAACTCAATATTTTAGCCAGAAAAATAGCGCCTAAATCTCGATATTTCGATAATATATGTCTAGAATTTGTTCCCTCTATGTGCAAAATCTTCAGGCTTGCGTAATATTTTTCTGGATAAAATATTGAGTTAGTGTTTAACAAAACTAATTCCCTAATAAATATTTATGTTTAAATATCTTATTTTTAAGGACTGCCAAAAATAACAGCCCTAAAACGATCTGCTAATACGCATAAGTTGATAATATATAATATTAGGTTGATCACTAACCACGATCTTCGGGAAAAGAGAAACGGTTTTTGTCATTATAAAAAAAAATCATCTAGCAATCGAGCTCCATTTAGAAGTTACGTTTAAAAAAAAAAGATTAGCCGAAAATTATTCAGAAATAGAGTTTTATTTGGAAAAAATCTAAAAATTTAATAGATACACACCCCACCCCCAATAAATTTATACTATCTCTAGATTATCTCCCTAGTCTACCCCTTCCTTAAATGCCTACCAGCCCCAAAAAAATGGATTTTTTTTTTTTTTTTTTTTTTTTACCAATCATGTGCACGCTGTCCACAACACAGAGCTCTTATGGAAAAGCAGAAATAGATTTACAACCTCCAAAGCCGATATTACCTGATATAGATTTGTGTTATTGCTTTAATAATCGACTTGCTCTTGATAGGTAAACTTAGTTAATTTATTATTTGTTTTCTTATGTTTCTGTCCTAGTTGTTGGCTCATGTAAATCAATTCGGCCAAAGGAATTTTATTGTTATCAATAATCCCATATTTTTCAAGATAAATTACTTGAACGAAAAATTAAATTTTAGATGTCTATAATAAATGCCATCTCTAACTATGGGTGTCTTTTATAATGTCTCCTGCCAGCCCTCATCTCTCCTAAAAAGTATATTTCTTGCTAAGAATGATCAAAAAAAAAATTTTTAAGATAAAAAATTTCTAGAAAGTAACGAAATTTTTAAACCCTATTCGCTCCTTATATTTTTAATTTGCAGACTTTATACCTAAAATGTATACAAAAGATAAATCTTTTGCATCAAAATTTACTCCTATTGAATGGAGATCTGCTAATGAAGTATTGAGTTTATTCTTTTTTTATAAGGGGTTATATATAAACTTTTCTCTATAAGTTGTTATTCTAACTTTTACATGCCCCTTCTACACATTTCAACTTTTAAATTCCTTTTATAATTACTCGGAAATCCAACACTCAGAAATTTGATATCAGAAAAAAAGTTAATTTCTTTGTGGCGAGCAGTAAAGGTTAGTCTCAGATTACAGTCTTTATAAATTAATTCTAGGGTATAATTTAAAAAAACCTTCTTTGACCAAATACTGGATTCAAATATCAATAAAATGGAGCCAGGAGCCAATCAAAATAAGGGTGTAGAATTTGAAGGGTCTTTCAGAGAGGTGGGCGTGGGCCTGTTATTTTATTCGCGGCCCGCCCGCTCACGGTGGCAATCCACGCCCATTCACGCTTCCCGCCCGCTCACGAAAGGCAATATTTTGAATCACTAACGTCACGCCCGAAAATTCACGGTGTTTTTTTTAAATTTTTCAAAACTTTAATGCTAAAATTTTTTTACACTTTTTTTGATTTTATTCTATCTATTTCCTTTAATTCCATAAATCCATAATAACAAAAAAATAAATACATATTATAAATCCAAAATTTTTACTTAGGGAAAAGAAGAATGTCTCAATTTTTTTTTTTATTTCAAGTGTGTACGCCTTTTCTTTTAATAGGCGATTGGCTACAGAAAATAACCTTTCACTAGAAGCTGAATTTGCCAGGAGCAAAATTCTTGCTCTCTAATAGATTTCTCAAAAAAGGAAAATAAATTTTTCCTGCTTCCAAAACTTCCAAAATTTTGCAATTCTTATTTGTTTTATGGGATGAATCTTTTAAATTCACATAGCTTTAATAGGTAAAAATATGTTTGATTTTTAGAATATATGATTTTTATGGTAGCAGGGATGAATTGGGAAAGCTATAAATGACAGTTGGCATTTACTTAGCCATATCATCTAATTTTATATCTTGTAACAAATATCTTAAGAGAAGAGAAGAGAAGAGAAGAGAAGAGAAGGAGAAGAGAAGAGAAGAGAAGAGAAGAGAAGAGAAGAGAAGAGAAGAGAAGAGAAGAGAAGAGAAGAGAAGAGAAGAGAAGAGAAGAGAAGAGAAGAGAAGAGAAGAGAAGAGAAGAGAAGAGAAGAGAAGAGAAGAGAAGAGAAGAGAGTTTCTTCGTCTATTAAAAACTTACTTTTGAAATTAGTGACAATTTAAGTCAAAACTATATTTGTAACGATTTATATTATATCTTTATTTGGCATGTTGAAATCACAAAATTACAATCAAAATAAAAATGTGTCTTTGGTAAATATAAAAAAAGACAAGCATATATAGTTTTAAAGTAACTGAAAACATTTACATGGTAACATTAAAATAAGAAAAATTTAAACATGAAAAAATTAAATATAATCGCCTGTAACTATTTACACATCTTAACAATTGGGATCTAGAATTAAGCCTACCTT